GAATTTGCCTCTTTTCTGATGACACAGAACCACCCCCTCTTGCCTGCCAGGCACAAAACCAAGTTAAACAAACCCCTGGTGGCTTGGATATGGAGATTAGTCATCTAAATTAAAGAATGCTGTTAGAAAATTAACATTGTTAATGAAACATGTATCAGCGTACACCAATCTCCAGTTATTTAATCAGATTGAGACGGCAAGAAGTATTATGCTTTTTTTAATGTCATAATTTAGATGGTGTCATTTAGATATGTGAAATAATATCTTCAGTAGAAAATATATGGTGCACTTAGTATGAAGGGTTAATATTCCTTCTGAGTGTGATGTCCTAGTGGCACATGTATAACTCCTTAATTGGCACGGTAGCACCGTGGTTAGAGCTTGTGTTTCACAGCAAGAAGGTCCTGGGTTTGATTCCAGGCCTTTCTGTGTGGAGTTTATATGTTCTCCGCGTGAATCCGTGTATCATCCGTGCTTTTTATTTTCTAAATAAAACCAACATTTAAAAAACTAATAATGAGGGATGTTTTTGATTCTCGAACTTTGAAATTAATGCAAAATTTAAATATTTGTTTGTTTGTTTTCTGTGGATCCAATTAAAACGAAAACACAGTAAACCAATAATGACTTTTTGTGATTTTCATTTGAAACACAAGAGTCCCCCGGAAGTGATTCACAAGTGCGCGCCCCGCTGGTAAACAGTTGAGTAGCGGTGGAGATTGAATAAATGATGGGTACGTTGAAAGACTTTTCAGATAGTGATAGAATGCTGTGCCCTCAACAGAAGAGTGCCCTCCCATAGGTGAGTGCACTTGCAGGACATTCTCCCCAAGAAATCTAGAGGATGATATGCAAATGGAGCAGGAAACTTTTTCCATGTCACATGCATTATCAATGTGTCTGATTTCACCACAAATAAGATATGACACAGATATGACTGTATAAAACAAAGTATCTATTAAAGTGAGACGTTTTAAATTGTATTTTTTATGAAGAAAATTAGCTCGGACGGAAGCAAGCAAGCAAAGCAAACTGGGTCAAAGCGATGCAGTCTCTATGATATTAACATGGATCCACGTCTCTGAACGCCACACGCTGCGGCTGCTTCGCAAGAGAACGTCACCGCATACGGCACCAACACATGCTTCAAAATAATCCCCTCTGAATGACTCACGTACGGCTGTTACATGTAGTTTTCTTTCATTGTCAGACAGTTTTTTTTTTTTTACATTTAAAATCCATTAAGGGAGGAGGAGCAAGTCAATTTAAACTCTCAAATTAAAAAAACATACCTACTTACAATATTACAATAATGATAATGCAAGGAATTCCTATCTAATGTTTTAAGTGTTTTCCTAAACAGGGAGATGGTGAATATTATTATGGTTAATATGCATTTGGTAGTGAATGACTAGTCCAGTTTTCTGGTGGAGGCTTCAAGACGGCAAACTTCCTGTTTGAGTGAACGGAGGTCAGAAGTGAACCAGGGTGAAGTTTTATTGAAGGTGACCGATCGCATTTGAAGAGGCACCACAGTGTCCAGTACAGATTTTAATGTATTGACATAGTAATTAACCAGATCAGCAGGGAAGGTGGGAGAGGAGTCGGAGGTGGCAAAGGAAAACAAGAGAAAGCAAGCAGTCAGAAGCAGGAGCGGTCTGAGGACATGTCTTTGCTCGACTGAGGCGGATATACAGTGCCTTGCGAAAGTATTCGGGCCCACTTGAACCTTTCAACATTTCGCCACATTTCAGGCTTCAAACATAAAGATATAAAAATTAAATTTGTTGTCAAGAATCAACAACAAGTGGGACACAATCGTGAAGTAGAACAAAATTTATTGGATAATTAAACTTTTTTAACAAATAAAAAACTGAAAAGTGGGGCGTGCAATATTATTCGGCCCCCTTGCGCTAATACTTTGTAGCGCCACCTTTTGCTGCAATTACAGCTGCAAGTCGCTTGGGGTATGTCTATCAGTTTTGCACATCGAGAGACTGGAATTCTTGCCCATTCTTCCTTGCAAAACAGCTCGAGCTCAGTGAGGTTGGATGGAGAGCGTTTGTGAACAGCAGTCTTTAGCTCTTTCCACAGATTCTTGATTGGATTCAGGTCTGGACTTTGACTTGGCCATTCAAACACCTGGATACGTCTATTTGTGAACCATTCCATTGTAGATTTGGCTTTATGTTTTGGATCATTGTCGGGTTGGAAGATAAATCTCCGTCCCAGTCTCAGGTCTTTTGCAGACTCCAACAGGTTTTCTTCCAGAATGGTCCTGTATTTGGCTCCATCCATCTTCCCATCAATTTTAGTCATCTTCCCTGTCCCTGCTGAAGAAAAGCAGGCCCAAACCATGATGCTGCCACCACCATGTTTGACAGTGGGGATGGTGTGTTCAGGGTGATGAGCTGTGTTGCTTTTACGCCAAACATATCGTTTTGAATTGTGGCCAAAAAGTTCGATTTTGGTTTCATTTGAGCAGAGCACCTTCTTCCACATGTTTGGTGTGTCTCCCAGGTGGCTTGTGGCAAACTTTAAACGAGACTTTTTATGGATATCTTTGAGAAATGGCTTTCTTCTTGCCACTCTTCCATAAAGGCCAGATTTGTGCAGTGCACGACTGATTGTTGTCCTATGGACAGACTCTCCCACCTCAGCTCTAGTTATCTGCAGTTCATCCAGAGTGATCATGGGACTCTTGGCTGCATCTCTGATCAGTCTTCTCCTTGTTTGAGATGAAAGTTTGGAGGGACGGCCGGGTCTTGGTAGATTTGCAGTGGTCTGATACTCCTTCCATTTCAATATAATTGCTTGCACAGTGCTCCTTGAGATGTTTAAAGCTTGGGAAATCTTTTTGTATCCAAATCCGGCTTTAAACTTCTCCACAACAGTATCTCGGACCTGCCATGTGTGTTCCTTTTGTCTTCATGGTTCTCTCTGCGCTTCAAACAGAACCCTGAGACTATCAAAGAGCAGGTGCATTTATATGGAGACATGATTACACACAGGTGCATTCTATTTATCATCATCAGTCATTTAGGACAACATTGGATCATTCAAAGATCCTCACTGAACTTCTGGAGTGAGTTTGCTGCACTGAAAGTAAAGGGGCCAAAAAATATTGCACGCCCCACTTTTCAGTTTTTTATTTGTTTAAAAAGTTAAAATTATCCAATACATTATGTTCCACTTTACGATTGTGTCCCACTTGTTGTTGATTCATGACAAAAAATTTAAATGTTATATCTTCATGTTTGAAGCCTGAAATGTTGAAAGGTTCAAGGGGGCTGAATACTTTCGCAAGGCACTGTACAAATAGGAAATGTAGTAGAACATTAACACACTGACATAACTCACATAATACCATGCTAAAGGGTCAGTGAAGTTGTAAAAAAAAAACCCATTGCTGCCACTACTGTGGGCAGCAGGCCCAGACGTGCATCTGCCAAAGTCACTCGCGCCTTCAAAGTGTAACCGCGACTGCCTCAGCTCCTCTCGTCTCCCCTATCATCCTCCTCGTCTAACATACACAAGACAAAGGCTTCTCCATCACATTACTGTCCCTGTGATTATGGGGAAGCACCCTAATACATCCACAGGAGGCTGGAAGTAGTAAACTTGCACGCTGCCTCGCAGTCACAATCAGTTTGCTATGATTTCAGCACTGTATTCAACATGCTCTTGATTAAATATTTTCTACTGAAGCAGTTTTTCTGAGTCGGGGAGGTAGTATGACATGTCTGCCAACTAGTGGCAATGAGTTCGAATGAATTTTGACAACCTGTTTTGAACAGTATTGTCACTTAAGTCGACCGGACTAGAACCACCCGCCATAAGAACAGTTTCTCCCCCTCTGCTGTCTGACTCATGAACACTTCATAACTCATACACTTTACAAACGCCACCTTATACTACTGTCACTGCTGTCACTTTAACTGCACTTCTAAATGTCTATTTTGTGTACTTAGTGCACAAAATAGTAATGAAAGCATTCATGGAGTTCAGTCAGTTCATGAATAAGCGTTTGTCTGTGACAGCAGTGATCACAAAACAACTGCATGTTTTTATTATACTACAAACACGTCCAGAAGTCATGCTGTGTGGAGCCCCATACTGTTGTCTCAAGCTTTCACCAGGAACCAGATGAACAGATGATGCTTTTAGGTGTCTGTCATAAGTCTGTCATTTTATACTTCACTGATGACGTTTTAAAGCTCTAAGTAGGGTTAATTTGTACTGATATTAAATGGCAGTTTTTAAATGTACTGTACTTGCGTATCTACTACTAGTAATACTAACATGGTGATACATTGTAACTGTGTACTTTTCCTTCACACTTGTCTTGTTTGAGTCTGTGTGTGTGTGTGTGTGTGTGGATGTTTGGTTGTTGATTGCATAGATTGGTTTCGTCGCTGAGTTTTTGATTATCACCATGGTATCGGAAATGGTATTGAGTATTTTCTGTTTGTTAGTATTGGAATAGGTGTGGCGACAGTGGCTCAGTTGGTAGAGCATTGGCCTATGAGCCTGAAGGCTGTGGGCTCGAGCCCATCATAAGGCCTACTTCACCACTCCCACTTATGACTGCTGTCATTGTGTCCTTGGGTAAGACACTTAACCCCACTTTGCCTGAAGCCCCCGCTGAAAGATCTCAGCTCCTGTGGACTCACCACCTGCAGCAGGATCAGTGAGGGGCTGGTGCTCTGTGAACTGGATGCAGCATCCCCCCCCCCCCCCCCCCCCCGACCCAGAAATTGATTAAGGGGAAGAAAATGGATGGATGGATGGAATAGAGTTTGAAAATTCAGTATTGTGACCACACTAGAATTAAGCACTATCGACAACAATTATTATCATTATTGTTACAAAATGGCTTCACTGGACTTTTGAAGAAAAAACACTTTGATCTGTTTGAAAAAGTACTGGTTGTAGGTGTGGACACTTCCTGATACCTGATTATACCATTAATAACAGTCAATCTTTTTCTTCTCTTCCAGATGTTCAGTGGTCTCCTAAAGCACACTCCGCCTCCAGCTCTAGCTGCCAGCTCTGCCTCGTCTTCACCCTCCTCCTCCTTAGACCAAAATCACCACGAGACACAGCAGCCCTCGCAAAACCCATTACCCGCCATCCCACGTCACTTGGTCGTGGGCCCCAAAGACCAGCTTCGCCTCCTAACCCCAGTGGGTAGCTCTGCATCTTCCAATCACCGCACAGCCACCATCAAAGCGTCCCTCCCTCTCAAACAGGTAGATGATGACGATGGCGGTGGGGGTAGGGTTAAGAAGAAACGGAAGAAAAAAGACAAGCGTGACAAAGCTGCGGATGTAGGCGACGAGCAGAAAGGCGGCGGTAAACCAAAGAGACGCAAAGAAGAGAAGGAGCGGGGCCCGGCAGTGCTGGTGCTGAGTCCCAGGAAGAGCAAACAGCCCAAGGATGGGAAGGAGAGGAAGGAGAGGAAGTTTAAAAAAAAGGACGCCAGAAAGGACAATGGGGCGGGGGTTATTCACGTGAACACAGTAGGGGCTGGGGTGACTGTGGCTCCCATTAAAATACCTGGGAAAAGAGGACGCAAACCCAAGATCAAGATCCTACCTCCAATACCGCCAAGTCAAGGTAATGTTTGAAAGACCTATTTTACAAATCGAATTTTATGAGCTTTTAAACATGCTCCTACATTGTCCCTGCATCAAAAACAGATTTGTTTTTACCTCCCCATATTAATATCAGGAACTTCTTCTTTATTTTTGTATAGGTTGGTGATTGGTGAGGCACTGACTTTACCCCAATCAAATGAACATATATACAAATCAACAGGACCTACAGAGCAGCTAATTCACAATTTGTTTCGCTACAGCAGAATGTTTCATGTCCGCATTGTTTGCTCGTACAAAAGTTTGTAAAGTACATTTAAAAGGCCCTTACCATATTAATGAATTGCACAGACCACTTCAGTTCAGACCAGTTTCATGTTTAAAGAGCGACTAAACACCTGTGGCAAACCTTACTCCGCCCACACGAACATTTTAAAGCTTCTCTAAAAAAGGGCGTTGCATGGAGGACCAGGGGACAAGAAGGGGGGCTTAGAATTGGGCGTGGTCTGGGCTGTGATTGACTGCTCGCTTGTCACACACACAAAAAACCTGACAGTTGTCATTGCTGCTTAAAGCTGCATTACCTGACTTTATTTTTTTATTCCTGACAAAAATTCAAACCATATCCATGTAATGCATTGGGATATTGTGAATAAACTAGTCACATTTCAACAACATAATCTCTTTAATACATGTTGTCAGCCGCTGGTTCAAAACTACAGGTTATCTGGACATCAGCACAAACAGACAAGTTACAGACTACACCAGTCTGGGTTTCTGCTGGATGGAAAGCAGCAGAGTGACAAAGAAATGAACCAAAGAGCTCTCGTCTTATACCCTGATAATTTGAAACACATGTGACCATATGTCCCACCATCCTTAGATGAAGACAATACCCCTGTGTGAATAAGCCTGAGGCTACTCTAAACAGATGTTCTCTACGCTCTTCTTAATTTAACTTCCTGTGTTTGGGCGGCACGGTGGCTGAGTGGATAGCACTCTCGCCTCTCAGCAAGAAGGTCCTGGGTTCAAATCCCGGCCGGACCAGGGCCTTCCTGAGTGGAGTTTGCATGTTCTCCCCGTGTCTGCGTAGGTTTCCTCCGGGTGCTCCGGTTTCCCCTACCACTAAAAATATGTCCAATAGTTCTAGCATGCGCCTCCTGTACTGGTGACCCCGCTCCCATCTCTGTGTGGAGTGAGAGACAAATGCCCATAATTAACAATTGTAAACCGCTTTGAGACTCAGATCTGCAGTGAAAAGGCGGTATATAAATAAAAACTTACTTACTTACTTACTTACTGTTTAATGGCTGGGGGATGGGAAAATGCTGCTGATGCGTCCATCACATCCCACCACACACATAGGTTAACTCAAAACTGTCTAAACTTTGAATATATTCTAATTCACTTTAATGAAAATCCAACAACTCTACTAACATTCCCTCCTTTTTTTCATTAAAAGAATTAATCACATTCAATGTTTAGTAAACCAACTTAAAAATGGAACACAATGAAGTTAATACAAACACAGTATTACATTTGAATCCAAGTTGCATCGACTCAACTTAGAGACCCCTCTTGAGATGTGTCTTATAAAAATCACATTGGTTACAGAAACACACACAGAAAAGAACTCAAAAAAAAAGTTTTTTAGAGATCATTTCATATTCATATGTAATTGCTCCCCCATAAACCATATCTCCCCCCTGTTTGAGACATTAAAAATGGCTCAATAACTGAACATAATTCCTAATTATTCATGTGTATGAAATGAAAAAGACACAAATACCCAATTTACTCATGTAAATTAATGTAGCATCAACATTTTTAAACTAAACGTTCATTTGAAATGTATTAACCTGGAATGTTTTAACCTGAAATGTATTAACTTGAAATGTGTCAACTTTGGTTAGCAAATTACACACCCCACACCAAAAAGCCTATTGTCCAGTAACGCCTGTTGTAGAAACGCCTCCAAACCCCAATGTCTTCTGCAGCCAGCAATGTCCAGCACCATCCAGCACAGCCCCGTCATGTCCAGAAGCCTCTTTTCCTGTTCACACACTTTAGAACCGACAGCAAAAACTGGAAACCTCCAGTCCTCAGATCTATGCACAAAGGTGATGTCTTCGGTCAACCCAGTCTTTCAGATGTTTTGGAAATCTGCAAAATGTCCCAAACACACACAGAGTCAAGTTGTTGATTTGAGTCTGACCTCTGGATGACCCTTTGCATCATTGCTTCTGTCGTTGCAGCATTTAGCCCTGGTTTGGCCTGCTGATTTGGCTTAGTTTGGCTTGGTTTGCTGGTTGATGATTTGGTGGGGGTGGGAGTGGGCGTCTCCTTCACAGGAATGAACTCTGAGCTTTTTGAGCATCAAAAGTGGTGTTTTAGGTGTTTCCCTCAAACAAAACACACAAAGTACACATTTGTTAATACATTTCAAACTTAGTTCAGTAAACCCAAAAGAAAACCTTAGCAGTTAATGAAAACTGTTGCTGAAAACAGTCCTATCACTGTAATTTTCTTGTGTCAGAAATGAAAACATCACAATTAACTATTGAAATAATGTATAACTAGTTATATTCAGAATCAAACAGATTTACATTTCTTTGATGTAAACATTAAACATGCTACAGTAACTTCCCTTACTGTTGAATTTAAACCTTTCAAATGAAACTAAACATATTTATTATTCAAATCTGAAAAATTAAACTGCTTATTTTCAGAGTGTTTCCCACTTATCTGATTGTTTGAGTCAGCATCAGTCAGAGAGGACTTCTTAGGCGTCTGATTCGTCGTTCCCATCCACAGCTCATGTACTTGTAATTGATCTGTGAAGTTTAAAACACTCTCGTGCCCAATGGTCAAAAGAACCACAATTAAAGCAGCCTTGCTTCTTTGTGCCACTGCTTCGCTCCCTCCTCCCCATCTGGATGCACTCTGCTCCCAGACCTGTCTTCCTGGTTGGAGTGGAGTGAGGCAGTGGCTGTGGCTGGGAAGGATCAGATGATCTGCCCCCAAGTGTCTCTCTTTGACTGGCTGTGATGGACTCAGAAACAGAAGAAAACATTAGTGTTGACTCACTCATGACTTCTTTGCATTGTTTAATCTTAATACATGCATCTAGAAACTTCTTCTGCTGTTTCAACATTTTTCCCTGCACATCTAAAATGTTTTTTAAATCACTCAGCTTTCCCAGACTGAGTGAAGCCATGTGTTCTTCACAAAAATCAAGTGTTAATTCTAACCTGCTGTTAACATTACAATTATCCATTGCTACTTCGTTAGTTTTTCTCCTAACATACTCAACACTTTCTGTACAATCCCTCTTCCAGTGTCCTCTCTTGTGACATTTTAAGCATAAATCATTGCTTCTATCTTTACTATCACCCTTTCTTTTTCCTTCCTGAAACTGACTCCTCTCTCGCTCTCTTCCCACCTTTCCTATTCATCTTATAGTCTGTTAGTTCAGTCAGTTAAGTCCCTACAGTAGACACAGAAGACAAACACTTACATGCAAAACCTGAAGTAACAAACAAATACTACTCACATAAGAGGAAATGTTAGTCTGTTAAATCTTACACATAAAGACAGTTACTCACAAAACAAACAAAAACTCCAAATCAAACCCAAAAATTAACATAAAAGTCTACTTGTGTGCACAAAATACCATCTTTTGTGATCATAAGCAAACAAAAATCAAAAATCTGAGCTAACTTTGAGTCTTATTTATCATCAATCTAATTCAGTCTCAGCCTAATCCTTTTGAGCTTGTACCAAATGTAGTAACTTTAAAATTTTCCAATCACAAAAATTTCACAGCTCAAGTCAATTCAAATCTATCTATGATTCTCTAATCTCATTACCAAATGTTTTCACCAGTAAAATGTTTATCACTGGTTCCACCCCTTTTTAATTATTTTTTTTAATGTAGCTAGCATTAACAAAAGTAGTTAAACTATAAAAAACATACTCCACCCAACTAGAGTTGAGCAGACGGGAGGGACAGAATTGGGAGCAAGGGAGAAGGGGGATGAGGGGGAAGAGGGAAAACAGGGAGGGGGGGGGGGGAAGAGGGGAAAAGGCAGAAGGGGACACAAAGGATGCACCTCAAACGTGCACGCACACACACACTCACACTTTAGGCCTTTATATCTAAATTTCAATTTCCAGTTTAAATTATTATTAGAAAAATTGTTGTCGTCTTATTATGCAGGCTACCACAAAGTTCTACCAAAAAAGTCACTAATCAGCTGAAGAAAAAATCACCACTCTCAAAATGTTCCATTTTTCCTCAAATGGCCAGATCTGGTTTTCCAACTACACGTATGCGTCCATAGTGCTGAATTTGTAATAGCTCCCCGACTATTAGAAGGATAAGCCTCGTTATCCTAGGCCTAAGAAATAGCCATCGACTATTAAAAGGATAAGCCTCGTTATCCGCGGCCTCTTTTTTGAGTCCCCGACTTCAAAAGTCCCAGTGGATAGAAGTTTAAATTCTCCACTTTCTTAGAAGTGCGTGATATCTCACTGCCCCAATGCTTTTTGAGAAGATAAATTGGATTTCCTGCCTTCAAAGACGATTTAAATTTAGTTTCTTTTTTTTAGGAAAAATTTGTTTTACCTTGTCCATGTGGATGTCCAGAAACTCTAGTTCTGCCGTCAACTTCAATCCGGAGACTGGCCATGCCTCAAAGATGGAGTCCTCAAAGCAGTTCTGAATGAAGAAGACCTCACCGCTGCTCCAACTCCATGTTTGAGGCATCCTCAGCTCCGCAGAAAAGCATGTTGGCATCCGGCGCAAGAAGGACCAAAATATGTGAATAAACTAGTCACATTTCAACAACATAATCTCTTTAATACATGTTGTCAGCCGCTGGTTCAAAACTACAGGTTATCTGGACATCAGCACAAACAGACAAGTTACAGACTACACCAGTCTGGGTTTCCGCTGGATGGAAAGCAGCAGAGTGACAAAGAAATGAACCAAAGAGCTCTCGTCTTATACCCTGATAATTT